ACTCAGGAATGGCGCTCTCGCCTAGGACTTCCTCGCAATTTTTTGCAGCGTCGCGTTCCCGACGCTCAGGAACCACGCTCGCGCCAAGGACGCCCTCGCAATTTACTTAGGAATCGCGCTCTCGCTTAATACTTCGTCGCAATTTACACAAAAATACCGTTTGAATGTCCCGCCCGCCCGACCCGCCCGCCAGGGTCCGCCCGCCCGACCGGCGCTCCCGCCTGAGACGTCCGACAATGTACTCGGGACCCCCGCTCCCGCCCAACTCTTCCTTGAGGAATACGCCCTCGCCTAGGACTTCCTCGAACGTTCACACTCTTACCCTCCTGCCCCTTCCTCCCCATCCAACCTCCCTCCTCCCTCCCCTCTCCCTCATATCCACCCTCCTCCTCCCTCTTCCTCTCTCCCCTCACCCTCCTCCCATAACCCTCCTCCCTCCTCTCTTCGCCCTCCCCTCTCCAGCCTCCTCCTTCCTCCCTCCTCTGTCTCTCTATCTCCAATCGTCCCCCCCCCCCCTCCTCGCCCCCTCTCTCCTGGCGTGTTCCCCTTTAGCCTCGTCCCTCCCCCTCCCTTCCTCCCACTCTCCCTCGTTCTCCCCCTTCCTCTTCTTGCAGGGCCCGCGCTAATTCCAATGGTGGGCAAAGAGATGCGTGCCCCATCCTCCGAATAATTCCCCGCCCGTTCACGCCCGCTTGTCTAAGCCCGCCCGCCCCCGCAAAAAGAAAAAATCCCCCCAGAAGGGGGTACGCTCGAAGACGAAGGGGGCGGGTATCGAGGGCGTGGGTATACACGTTGCATGGCGCGCGGGCAAGTAAGAGCGAACAGTCTTAAAATGATTGTTGTTGTCGTTGTTGTTGTTGTTGTTGTTGTTGTTGTTGTTGTTGTTGTTGTTGTTGTTGTTGTTGTTGTTGTTATTGATGTTGTTGTTGCTGTTGCTGTTGCTGTTGCTGTTGTTGTAGATGTAGTTGTTGCTGTTGCAGTTGCTGTTGCTGTTGCTGTTGCTGTTGTTGTTGTTGTTGTTGTTGTTGCTGATGGACACGTGCACTGACGACCCGTACCCCCTTCCCACCCCACGGGGCTGTTGGGGTGTTGGTGTTGGTGCCCTATCGGATTCCATAGTGGTCCTATAGGATAGTTGGGGACTATACGACTCCATCGGGAAACTATACGATGCCATAGGAGTCCTATAGAAATGCCAAATGGATCCTATCGGATTCCATGGGGATCCTATAGGATTCCATTGAGATTTTGTAGGATGCCATATGGGATCCTATCGGGTTCCATAGGGATCCGTGGGAAGTCTTTATAGGATCTCTGAGAATCCTTAGATGAGCCCCATGGAACCATATAGGAGTCCTACACGATCGCTATGGAATCCTAGAAGGTCCCAGGGGAATCCTCCAGGATTTCTATATGGTCCCTATGGAACCCTCTTAGGTTTTCGATGGAATCCTACAGGACTCGTTTTGGATCCTGTAGGACCCCTATAGGATCCCAATGGAATCCTATAGGGTCCGTATGGAATCATACAGACATCCCTATGGAATCCTATGGGTTTCCCGAGGAGGAGGAAGATGAGTAGGAGGTGGGTACGGAGGAGGAGGAGGCGGATGAGGCTACTGCTACTGCTACGGATACTACTACCACTTCTACTACTACCACTTCTACTACTATTAGTACGACTATGACTACCACTACTACTACTACTACTACTACTACTACTACTACTACTACTACTACTACTACTACTACTACTACTACTACTACTACTACTACTACTACTACTACTACTACTACTACTACTACTACTAGTACTACTACTACTACTACTACTATTACTACTACTACTACTACTACTACTACTACTACTACTACTACTACCACTACTACCACTACTACCACTGCTACCACTACTACTATCACTATGACTACGACTACGACTACGACTACTACTATTAACTACTACTACTACTACTACTACTACTACTACTACTACTACTACTACTTTTACGACGACGACGACTACGACGACTACTACTACTACTACTACTACTACCACTGTTATTGTTATTCGTAACATTGGTGCTATTCGTACTACTAGTACAACTAGTGCCACTCGTACTACTACCACTACTACTGATACTATTTTTACTACTGTTACTACTACTACTACTACGACTACTACTACTGCTACTACCAGTACGCCTACCAGTCCTACCACTCCTACTACTCCTACTCCAACAATAACAAGTACTACTACTACTACTACTACTGCTACTACTACTACTACTACTACTACTATTACTACTTCTACTACTACTACTACTATGGCTTTTAATACAGGCCGTGTAGGCTTTGTATAGGATCCCATACAGGGCGTGTCGGCTCTGCATCGGATCCCATACAGGGTGTGTAGGCTCTGCATAGGATCCCACAGGCCGTGTAGGCTCTGTATAGGATCCCGTACAGGCCGTGTAGGCGGTGTAGGTTCCCATACAGG